ATGGAATCCACAACAGGTCCCTTGCTGGGTATGATGCCATGGGTACCACTCCAATGATGCTCAGTATCTGAACCCTGGCTGGGTATGATGCCATGGGTACCACTCCAATGATGCTCAGTGTGTGAGCCCTGGCTGAGGATGATGCCATGGGTACCACTCCCATGATGCTCAGTATCTGAACCCTGGCTGGGTATGATGCCATGGGTACCACTCCAATGATGCTCAGTGTGAGCCCTGGCTGAGGATGATGCCATGGGTACCACTCCCATGATGCTCAGTGTGAGCCCTGGCTGAGGATGATGGCATGGGTACCACTCCCATGATGCTCAGTGTGAGCCCTGGCTGAGGATGATGGCATGGGTACCACTCCCATGATGCTCAGTGTGAGCCCTGGCTGAGGATGATGGCATGGGTACCACTCCCATAATGCTCAGTGTGAGCCCTGGCTGAGGATGATGCCATGGGTACCACTCCCATAATGCTCAGTGTGAGCCCTGGCTGAGGATGATGGCATGGGTACCACTCCCATGATGCTCAGTGTGAGCCCTGGCTGAGGATGATGGCATGGGTACCACTCCCATGATGCTCAGTGTGAGCCCTGGCTGAGGATGATGCCATGGGTACCACTCCCATAATGCTCAGTGTGAGCCCTGGCTGAGGATGATGCCATGGGTACCACTCCCATGATGCTCAGTGTGAGCCCTGGCTGAGGATGATGGCACGGGTACCACTCCCATGATGCTCAGTGTGAGCCCTGGCTGAGGATGATGGCACGGGTACCACTCCCATGATGCTCAGTGTGAGCCCTGGCTGAGGATGATGGCAGTGTTGCTGCTCCCTGTGACCCCCTTACCTCTCCAGGGTCTCCACGCTGGGCTGCCGGGAGGTGGTTATAGAGGGGGGCGCGGATGGCCGGGGAGGTTTCCTGGCTGGAGGTGCTGCACTCCCTCCTCCTGCAGCCGCAGACTCCAGGACCGGCAGCTTGTCCATGGGATGTTATGTTGGCTTCCTCCCCCCTCCTCCTCCTCCGGATGCCCGGGCTGTGCTGACCTCCTGTCCCCGCTTATCGCACCGGAAAGGCCGGATTGGAGGCCTCGCTTCCTGCCTGTCAGATTGGGAGTCTCAGGCTCCGCCCCCTTTCTTTACAACACAGGAAGCTCGTGCTGTCTCTCTGCTCCCTCCCTACTACAGTCTTAAACACGCCCACAACGAGTAAACCCCGCCCCCTGCCCGTGTAACCCCGCCTCCAGAATACAGTTTCCCTGCACAGCCTGCCATTCCATCCAGCATTCCACCTCCCCCTGCACTGCCTGCCATTCCATCCAGCATTCCACCTCCCCCTACACAGCCTGCCATTCCATCCAGCATTCCACCTCCCCCTGCGCAGCCTGCCATTCCATCTAGCTCTCCACCTCCCCTGCGTAGCCTGCCATTCCATCCAGCTCTCCACCTCCCCTGCGCAGCCTGCCATTCCATCCAGCATTCCACCTCCCCCTGCGCAGCCTGCCATTCCATCCAGCTCTCCACCTCCCCTGCGCAGCCTGCCATTCCATCCAGCTCTCCACCTCCCCTGCGCAGCCTGCCATTCCATCCAGCTCTCCACCTCCCCTGCGCAGCCTGCCATTCCATCCAGCTCTCCACCTCCCCTGCGCAGCCTCCCATTCCATCCAGCTCTCCACCTTCACTGCGCAGCCTGCCATTCCATACAGCTCTCCACCTCCACTGCGCAGCCTGCCATTCCATACAGCTCTCCACCTCCCCCTGCTCATTCTGTAATTACAGCAGCCATCCTGTGTGCTCTGCTCTGTACATCATTACAGCAGCCATCCAGTGTGCACTGCGCTGTACATCATTACAGCAGCCATCCAGTGTGCACTGCGCTGTACATCATTACAGCAGCCATCCAGTGTGCACTGCGCTGTACATCATTACAGCAGCCATCCAGTGTGCTCTGCGCTGTACATCATTACAGCAGCCATCCAGTGTGCACTGCGCTGTACATCATAACAGCAGCCATCCAGTGTGCACTGCGCTGTACATCATTACAGCAGCCATACAGTGTGCTCTGCGCTGCACATCATTACAGCAGCCATCCAGTGTACCCTGCGTTTGTACATCATAACAGCAGCCATCCAGTGTGCACTGCTCTGTACATCATTACAGCAGCCATCCAGTGTGCACTGCGCTGTACATCATTACAGCAGCCATCCAGTGTGCACTGCGCTGTACATCATTACAGCAGCCATCCAGTGTGCACTGCGCTGTACATCATTACAGCAGCCATCCAGTGTGCTCTGCGCTGTACATCATTACAGCAGCCATCCAGTGTGCTCTGCGCTGTACATCATAACAGCAGCCATCCAGTGTGCACTGCGCTGTACATCATTACAGCAGCCATCCAGTGTGCCCTGCGCTGTACATCATTACAGCAGCCATCCAGTGTGCCCTGCGCTGTACATCATTACAGCAGCCATACCAGTGGCGTACATACCAGGGTCGCAGGGGTCGCGGCTGCGACCTGGCCAACCAGGGGGCCCGGCCGCCCCTGCGACCCGGTATGTACCCACAGGGCCAGCCTCTTCTCCTGTCGGAGAAGCACTCAGTGCTTCCTCTTCCGCTCCCTCGCGCACCGCACTGATGCCGGAGCCAGAAGATGACGTCATCTTCCGGCGCTGGCATCCCTACGCGGCGCGCGAGGGAGCTGAAGAGGAAGCACACAGGGGAAAGTGTTCCCTCGTGCGCCGGCCACCCAGACAGCCCGCCCACCCAGTGACCTGCCGCCCAGGAGCCCAGCAGCACCACTGGACCCCAGGGAATCCCCCCAGCACTCCAAAAGGTAAGGAGGCTGGGGGGATTAAATTTGAAAAAAAAAATGTTTGTGTGTTAGTGTGTGTGTGTGTTAGTGTATGTGTGTGTTAGAGTGTGTGTGTGTGTTAGTGTGTGTTAGTGTGTGTGTGTGTTAGTGTATGTGTGTTAGTGTGTTAATGTGTGTGTTAGTGTGTGTGTGTCAGTGTTTGTGTTAGTGCGTGTGTTAGTGTGTGTGTCAGTGAATGTGTCTGTTATTGGGTGTGTGTCTGCTAGTGAGTGTGTTACTGTGTGTGTCTGTTACTGAGTGTGTTTGATGTCTGTTAGTGAGTGTGTGTTTGTCAGTGAAAGTGTATGTTTTGTAAGTTAGTGTGTATGTATGTATGTCTGTCGCAGAGTGTGTCTCTGTCAGTAAATGTGTGTGTCTGTTAGCACGTCTGTTCGTGAGAGTGTGTGTGTGTGTCTTCCACATTTACCTTTCTCCAGCGTCGGACTCCCCAGTGTCCGCCTCTCAGCTCCGAAATGCACATGCGTGGCAAGAGGCGCGCGCGCATTTAAACCGCCCATAGGAAAGCATTACTCAATGCTTTCCTATGGACGTTCAGTGTCTTCTCACTGTGATTTTCACAGTGAGAATCGCGGAAGCTCCTCTAGCAGCTGTCAATGAGACAGCCACCAGAGACTGGATTAACCCTCAGTGAAACATAGCCGTTTCTCTGAAACTGCTATGTTTTCAGCTGCAGGGTTAAAACTAGAGGGACCTGGCACCCAGACCACTTCATTGAGCTGATGTGATCTGGGTGTCTGTAGTGGTCCTTTAAGTGTGTGTGCATATCACGGTCGCGGGGTCGCAGCCCTGCAACCCCTGCGACCAGGTGCCCGCCACCATGTGTTGCGACCCCGACCCGCGCCGAGTAAGCGCGGGGGGGGGCCCACGGATCAATTTTTGCACCGGGGACCCATGGGTCATGTGTACGCCACTGATCATTACAGCAGCCATCCAGTGTGCATTGTGCTGTACATCATTACAGCAGCCATCCAGTGTGCTTTGTACTGTACATCATTACAGCATCCATCCAGTGTGCACTGCACTGTACATCATTTCAGCAGCCATCCAGTGTGCACTGTACTGTACATCATTACAGCAGCCATCCAGTGTGCACTGTGCTGTATGTCAGGGCTGTCCAATACAAGGCCCTTGGGCCGCATGGATATTTTGTGGCTCATCTGTGGTTTGTAACACAATCCACAGGTAGACCGTAAAAAATACGCCCATGCTGGCCTATGCAGAGCAGGCTCTATTCAAGCGATCTTCCTCACTGGACCAAAAGCACTTGTCTGCGGCATGGGAGGTGAGTAGAGGAGCAGAGAGACCGTATGTTCCTCCCGCAAGCTGTGCTATTCGTAGTGTTGCCGCGGGTTACCATGGCAATGCTCCGAGGAGCTCGCAAGAGGACTGAACTCTGCCTGCAGCCAGAGAAGTGCAGGCAGAGTTGCTGAATACCACCTGACAAGCAGGGCTTGCAGTGTCCCTTCTCCCTGATAAGAAGGTAAGAAGAAGGGGGGGAATAATGTTGTGCTGAATTTAAAAGTAATAAAAAAAAAAAATATGCACCCCTCACACACATTGCACCCCTCACTTACACAGAAACGGCACCCCTCACACACAGATTGCACCTCCACACACGCTGCACCCATCACACACACAGTGCACCCTTCACACACACACTGCACCCCCCCCACACACACACAGAACATCTCACACACACACTGCGCCTCCACACAAACTGCACTCCTCACACCCACACTGCACCCATCACACTCACGTCAACCCTCATACACACGCTGCACCCGTCACACATATACACACTGCACCCCTCAAACACAACACACCCCTATATACACTGCACTCCTCACACACACACATGGAACTGCACCATTCACACACAAACTCACACTCATGAAACCTCTCCCACACTGTGCCCCTCACACACTGCACCCCTCACACCCACATTGCACCCTCACATACACACACTGCAAACCTCACACAGACTGCACCCCTCAGACACACACTGAACCCTCACACATACACACTTCACCCCTCAACACACACACAACGCACCCTTCACACACACACACACTGTGATGTTTTGCACAATTCAGTCAATAATTCCTGTATAACGAAGTACTCACTTTATTAACACATATATAACAGCATCTTCATATTGCAGCCTTGTTACACAGGGTTTCTGCAGCCGCCATTTCAAATCCCTCCAACATTCCACCAACTGCCAACAGGAACAGGAAGTAAAGAACCAAAAGAAAGGAAGTGCATCATTCACAGCCAACAATGTTACTATTTTGTTTTGTTTTCTTTCTTTTGTTGAGAAAGGAAGGAGATGTGATGTATGGGCGGTTGGGCTGTGTATGAGTGTGTGAGTGTATGAGTGTATGTATTGTGATGTATGGGCGGTTGGGCTGTTGTTGGCTGTGAATGATGCACTTCCTTTCTTTTGGTTCTTTACTTCCTGTTCCTGTTGGCAGTTGGTGGAATGTTGGAGGGATTTGAAATGGCAGCTGCAATAACCCTGTGTAACAAGGCTGCAATATGAAGATGCTGTTTGTACAAAACATCACACACACAGTGCACCCCTCACACAGACACACACACACACACACACATACATACTGCACTCCTCTCACACATACATACTGCACTCCTCTCACACACACCCTGCACTCCTCTCACACACATTGCATCCCTGTCACACACACTGCACTCCTCTCACACACATACTGCACTCCTCTCACACACACCCTGCACTCCTCTCACACACATACTGCACTCCTCACACACACCCTGCACTCCTCACACACACCCTGCACTCCTCTCACACACATACTGCACTCCTCTCACACACACTGCACTCCTCTCACACACACACTGCACTCCTCTCACACACATTGCATCCCTGTCACACACACCCTGCACCCCTCACACTCTTACTGCACCCTTCACACACATTGCACCACTCTCACACTTACATGGAATCTCTCACACACACTGCACCCTTCACACCCTTACACACATTTTACCCCTCACACACACTGCACCCATCACATACAAATTAGACTCCTCACACATACACACACTGAATCCTTCACACACATTGCACCCCTCATACATGCTACACCTAACTTTGCATGCCGCCCTCGGATAAATCTTGTTTTTTAATGCGGCCCTCGGTTTACCTGAGCTTGGACAGCCCTGCTCTAAGTCAATACAGCAGCCATCCAGTGTGCACTCTGCTGTACATCAATACATCAGCCATCCAGTGTACACTGTGCTATACATGAAAACAGCAGCCATACAGTGTGTAC